AGACACAGCAGACACAGACATCACACGGCGACACATATTCAGTGTGCAGTTCCTTTGGCATCAGGGCAGGGATATCTAGATACTGTCCGAGGTCTGACATCATGACGTGTGCTACTTTTAAAGCAAGCAACCATGTTTTCAAATCTGTAATCAAAACGCTATCGAAGCAGTTGCTACGTAGTTCAAACGGTAACAACGGACTATTTTTCTTAGCGGATGCATGTCATTTTAAATCAATACAACTATTTTTTAAATCAATCAGCATTTCAATTAATATTGTGAGTCATGTCGTTACTTTGTTGAGAATGTGGCCGTGTGATAAGCGGGATAATGTGCAGCGACTTGGTCATTATGGAGAACACCCTTCATACTGATCTAGATCCCTCCTTCATCTTCTACCAAGAAGAAGGATCTGAGATGTTCACAGCCTCTCCAGTACTTCCTGTTTCCTCTCAGATGCTGTGAGTGAGTAATGACGTGTTGAGAAGTGTTCCTGAACCTTGTCCAGAGAAATGTGACTTTTCTTCAGGTCCAGAACCTCGGCCAGGTATCTGATGAGCTCCGTGTTCGCTTCTCCGTCTGTAGGAGGCGCTGCGATGGAGACGCCCACCGCCTCCGCAGAGATATCTGCAAGAGAAGAAGAGACGTGGGCAGAGAGGGAGAAGTACACACATCCTTTACTCAGGTAGAAGTACACACATCCTTTACTCAGGTAGAAGTACACACATCCTTTACTCAGGTAGAAGTACACACATCCTTTACTCAGGTAGAAGTACACACATCCTTTACTCAGGTAGAAGTACACACATCCTTTACTCAGGTAGAAGTACACACATCCTTTACTCAAGTAGAAGTACACACATCCTTTACTCAGGTAGAAGTACACACATCCTTTACTCAGGTAGAAGTACACACATCCTTTACTCAGGTAGAAGTACACACATCCTTTACTCAGGTAGAAGTACACACATCCTTTACTCAGGTAGAAGTACACATCCTTTACTCAAGTAGAAGTACACACATCCTTTACTCAGGTAGAAGTACACATCCTTTACTCAGGTAGAAGTACACATCCTTTACTCAAGTAGAAGTACACACATCCTTTACTCAGGTAGAAGTACACATCCTTTACTCAAGTAGAAGTACACACATCCTTTACTCAGGTAGAAGTACACATCCTTTACTCAGGTAGAAGTACACATCCTTTACTCAGGTAGAAGTACACACATCCTTTACCATCCATATATCACCTCCCTCTCACCACACACACACACACACACACACACACACACACACACACACACACACACACACACACACACACACACACACACACACAACACACACAACACACACACACACACACACACACACACACACACACACACACACACACACACACACACACACACACACACACACACACACACACACAACACACACACACACACACACACACCACACACACACACACACACACACACACACACACACACACACACACACACCTGTGATGCCGCTGTGTTTGGCGCCTGGTTTGGCGTGAACGGTAACGGTAACGGCTCCACTTCTATCTCGAGTCACCGGAGAAGAAGGAGCTTCCTGCTGAACCACTGCAGCCGGCTGAACTTTGACCTGCTTATATATAAATAAATATATATAAGTACTCAGATCTTGTACTTGAGTAAAAGTAGAAGTACTCAGATCTTGTACTTGAGTAAAAGTAGAAGTACTCAGATCTTGTACCAGAGTGTAGGAATACTCTGTTACAGTAAAAGTCCTGCATTGAAAATGTTCCTCAAGTAAAAGTAGAAAAGTATTCTCATCAAAATATAGTGAAAGTAGCGACAGTAAAAGTACTCATTGTGCAGATTGGTCCATTCCAGAATAATATATATGATATGTTTTATAATGATTGATCATGAAAGTGTTCTCAAAGCTGGTAAAGGTGCAGCTAGTTTGAATGACTTTGTATACTGCAGGGTAGCTTGTGGATTTACTCCAGGTGGAACTAAAGTCTGATTTAACACTTGATTAGATTTCACATCATTCATCCACATCTGTGAAGTAACTAAAGGTATTAATACATGTAGTGGAGGAAAAGTACACCAGTTACCTCTGAACTGTAGAGGAGTAGAAGTACAAGGTAGCATTAACCTGAAATACTCAAGTGAAGTACAAGTACCTCTAAATTGTACTGAAGTAATTACTTGAGTAAATGTACTTAGTTACTTTACACCTCTGAAGGTACGCGATGCTGTGTGACGTCACGCTGGTTTTTAACGTCTCTAATAACTCACCGCTTTTCCTTTTTTGGGCATCTTCCTGTTTCCGGATGAGCTCCTGACCGTTAGCACTGTTAGCCGGTTAGCTTGGAATGACTGAACACATTTAGATAAACCTATAAAACTACAATTTACAGTCAAAGCTGTGCGGGACAACATCCACCTGCTAGCTGTTAGCTGAAGCACGGAGCAGAGATGCTAACAATGTAAACAAAGCGATTTCCGCTTTTCAAAATAACAACTTCCGTTTCTTTCAAAGTAAAAGCATCTTCTTCTTCTTCCCTCGGTTTTTGGCGGATTGCAAACGACTTTAAAGGTGCATACCGCCACCTACTGTACATGAGTGTGAATCATCATATCATTCCATCTCTTAGCTCATGGACGTATCTATCTATGATCTAATCAAAAATAAATAAATATAACAAAACAAAATAAAAATCTATGATCTTTCCTGACCTAATGTTAGATTATTTTTCCTACCCCAGTTTCCCTCAGAAAGGTAAACAGTGCCTTTCTGGTAGCTCCCTCTCCTTCTGTTCCCAGAACACCAGCCCCTCTCCCTCTCTGCCTCTATACCAGGTGTGTCAAACTCAATTTCATCACGGGCCACATCAACATTATGGTTGCACTCAAAGGGCCGGTTGTAACTTTAAGACTATATAAAAATACATATATAAATATTTAATATATATAAAATAATGTATTATATTACATCATTGCCTCTCCATTGGATTATTATCAGATAGGGTAATAACTTCACAATTAACTACGTCTGAAAGCAGAAGTCTAGGGCAAATAATTGCAAGTCTGTTCAGTAAGAATGTCACAAAATGATTTAAAAAGAAAAGCCAAATTCTGGAAAAAAGTAATATTTTGGGGGGGGAAGCAACATTTTGGAAAAAATATATAATTCTGAGAAAAAGGCAAATTCTAAGAAAAAAGGCATATTTTGAAAAAAAAAGACAAATTCTGAGAAAAAAGTCAAATTTGAGATGCATTGTGGGACATGTAGTTTATGGGCAACATGCTTCTTTAAAGTAGCATGTAACCGTATAATAAACATATCATATTTTTTGCAAGCTCTTATGGGGCCACAGAAAATGAAGTGGCGGGCCGGATTTGGCCCCCGGGCCTTGAGTTTGACACCCCTGCTCTATACCTTCAGCCTGTAGTTGTTCTCTTTCAGCTTTATAGATGTCACAATGTGATAAGAGATGTTCCACATGTTCTTTAACTCCACAGAGTACCATTCAATGCTGTGTGATTTAGTCTGAGTCTAGCTATCATGATTTCCTCCCTTCTGTTTCTTTCTAAATATTAATTGTGATTGTCTTTTGACCTTGATGATACTCCTGTGCCTTATCTGGATCTTCCTCCCACCTTTTCTGCCAGATCTCCATCCTTTCTTCTTGATGACTGGCTTTCCTTCTCCTTCTCTCCTTCTCCTTCTCCTGCTCCTTGCCTCCTTCTCCTTCTCCTTCTCCAATTGAACTGTAATGTGATTCCTTTTGTAGTGCAACTTTTTGCTCATCTATCAGCACACTTCCTTACCCCATGGAGCACACTGGATTTCCCTTTCACCCCCTACATGAGCACACTCGTTCCCTTTCCCCATGAGCAAATGGTTCCTTCACCCCCAAGAGCCACACTTGTTCCCTTTCACCCCTCAGTGAGGACCACACTCGTTCCCTTCAACACACCCCTCATGAGCACCAACTCGGTTACCCAGTTCACCCCCTCATGAGCACACTGGTTCCCTTTCACCCCCTCATGAGCCACTCTTCGTTACCTTTCACCCCCCCTCTCATGGAGCACACTGGTTCCCTTTTCAACCACCACTCGTGAGCACACATCGTTCCTTTTACACCCCCTCCATGAGCACACTCGATTCCCCTTTCACCACCCTTCATGAGCACACTGGTTCCCTGTTCACCCCTCATGAGCACACTACGTTCACCCTTTCCACCCCCTCATGAGGCACCAACTCGTTCCCTTTCCCACACCCACCTTCACATGAGGCAACATATGGTTCCCTTCTTCACCCCCTCATGAGCACACGGGTATCCCTTTCCACCCCCTCGTGAGCACAACTCGTTCCCTGTTCACCACCACTCATGCGGCACTCCCTCGTTCCCTTTCACCCCCTCATGAGCACACTGGCTTCACCTTTTCACACCCCCTCGTGCTAGCAACCCAGCTCGTGCCTTTCACCCCCTCGTGAGCACACTCGTTCCCTTTCACCCCCTCGTGACGCACACTCAGTTCCCCTTTCACCCCCCTCGTGAGGGCACACTCGTATCCCTTTCACCCCCTCGTGGAGCACAACTCTTGATAGCTTATTTCCCTTTCCACCCCCTCGTGAGCACACTCGTTCCCTTCAACCCCCTCGTGAGCACACTTCGTTTCCCTTTCACCCCTCGTGAGCACACTCGTTCCCTTTCCACCCCCTCGTGGAGCACCACTCGTTCCCTTCACCCCCTCGTGAGGCACACTCGTTTCCCTTCACCCCCTCGATGAGCACACTCAGTTCCCTTTCACCCACTCGTGAGCACCCACTCGATTTCCCTTTCCACCCCCTCGTGAGGCACCACTCCGTTCCCTTTCACCCCCTCAGGAGCAAGGCACCCAGCAGAACTGCAGATCTATGTGAAGTCTTAACAGGCTGTGGTTCAGTTCTATGAGAATGTCTTCTCTGACAGTTGTTGTTGACTGTATGCTTTGTAGCAGTTGTTGTTGACTGTATGCTACACATTTACTTCAGTCGTTCAGTAGAAAAGATAAAAGTATCCAATAGAATATATAAAGAATAAATGAAAAATCTCTACAAAAGACAAATACACTACAAAAACAGAAACGTATTGACATGGGTAATATACATCAACAAGGCTTCAAATGTATTCAGTATTGTATGAACATGTTTGAATTGGGGTGTCGACGTCAAATCCTCTATGGGGGTCCGGTGGTATGCCCCCCTGGGAAGAAATGTTTGAAAATGTAAAGTAAAATGCTTCAATCTGGTGCACTTTGAGCACACATCACTAGAGACTAGATCTAGGGGGTACAACTCTAAACACCCATATGAAAAAGATCGGTTTACATTTTAATAACCAAATATATGAACATAACCAATAACCTACCATAGCCAATAACAAATAAATGTAACTTATTTTATTTTTGTTGTTCATTCATATCTTATTTTACCTAGTTAACATTTATTTATGCATATTTTTGTATCTCTCCAGTTTTAAACGATATGTCTGGTTTACTGTCCTATAGTATACACTGGAATGATTTCAAACCTGTTTATCCAAATAATTATAAAGGAGTGCCTTGGAAATATTTGTTTACATAAATTGCATTTATCTCTCTCTCTCTCTCCCACGCCCACTTTGGCTGTGAGCTGCGGGCGCCTGATAAGCCAACACCCCCCACTTTCATCACTTACAGCGCCCATCGTACAGGGCAAATGAAAAGTGTAACCGGGGTGAAAAGGGTGTTACCTTGACTTAATTATGAATGTTGTTACATCAAGGCCGAAAATTAGGATCAGCGCCAACAGTCAAAAATGTTTTTTTCCCTCCCAGAGCTGCCAGCGCAGCGACCCCCCAGATCTGGCGCCCTAGGCGACCGTCTATGTCGCCTATGCCAAAAACCGGCCCTGTACACCATGCTAAATGTATGTCTGCATAAAGCTGATAACACAGAATTTGGTGATGATGAAATAGTTTACAGTGAGATTTACTCCCATACTTTTGGCCATACTCACGCAGCCCTACAAAGGAATTGAGATTTCCACACAAATGTTCTTTAGCAAGTGTGCAGAGCAGTGTTGATTTAAAAAAGCAATTTGAAGGTTGGATATTTGTAAACCTTTTTTTGTGTATATATATTACTAATTTAAGATGTAAATGAATTCCAGTTTATTTGTAGTACTTTCTACTTTTATTGTGACATTTGGTGGCATCAATGTGTGCATTTGATACAGATAATGGAGCAGTTGCTTTAGGGCCACAGTATATATCCCTTAAGGTCAAATAATGAGATCCTCGACCTCCGCCCCCCTCTCGCACCTCCACACAGAGCCCCCCCACATATCAAATCCCAACTTAACCCCTGCTTAGAAGCCCTATTTTATCAGTATGTCTGCACAGCAGTTACGATGGTCGAACTACATTAGAACAGAATTGTCCCCATTTGTTCTTTAATATTTACTAACATTAGATATTTTAATGAGATATGGGCCGCAAAACAAAAAATGTGCCTGAATAACGAATTTAGCATTTGGACATAAAAGTAAACTGAGTGTCACTTGCAATGACAGTGTTGTATTTTTATTTTATGAACCTTTTACATAAAAAACAAGTTAGAATTTTCAAAAGGTCTTGTGTGGTCTCGCGTCGACAGCGAGTCGACATAGCTCGGGCCATGGGTTTGTTGTTTTCGGTATCCCCATTTCCTCAGACCGTGGTTCGCAGTTCACGTCCGAGCTCTGTAACGCCGTGGGTTCGAGGGTTAAGCTCCACCGGACAACCGCTTGTCACCCTCAGGCCAACGGCCTCTGCGAGCGTTCCCATCACTCCATGAAGGCGGCCCTCAGGGTCAGCCTAACGACAGATGGTCTACGGTCAGCCGCTGCGGGTTCCAGGGGAATTCCTCACCAACACATCGGCCCCCTGGTCGGCGACAGCCCAGGGCGCTTTCCTACAGAACACCGCTAAGGCCTTTTGCTCCGATACCCACTGCTCAGCACGGCACTCCGTTGTCCCGGGTTCCCGTGGGGCTTCGCTCGGTGGAGCACGTGTTCATCCGGCACAACGCTCACAGGGGTCCCCTGCAGCCCCGTTACGATGGGCCTTTCCGAGTCTTGGAACACGGGGGCAAGCACTTGGTGGTGGACCTGGGTGGCAGGGCCGAGCACGTCTCGGTGGTCCGGGTAAAGGCTGATCACCTGGATTTGGACCAGCCGGTGGTGCTGGCTCGACCTCCACGATGCGGCCGCCCCCCCCCGGCCTCGACCCCTGTCACCAACCTAGGGCCTACGGTTCCGGTCCCACCGCTCCCTTCCTCACACACACACACACACACACACACACACACACACACACACACACACACACACACACACACACACACACACACACACACACACACACACACACACACACACACACACTCAATCTTTTCTCAGCTGCAGCTCCGTGGATTTCTCAGCCTG